AAAATATGATCCACACAATAATGATTGCTAAGTTTTATACTCAAACCATCCAAATCCCAAACCTGTAAACCAGAAATGCAATACACAGACATGCAGTCATATTTTCTTCAATTTTCAACCTGCAAATTTGTAAGTAATTTTTTTATTTCTATTTTATTCTTGAAATCTTTGAATTTTTGTTATGAATTCTTCTTTATTGGAGATGGATTCATTCATTCATCCGTCCTCACAACAACAAAAAGTTTAGATATTGTAGTAGTTAAATGATAGCTAAATGCCTAAGTCCTTTCTTTCGTTTCCTCAGTTGACGACGGCAATCGCAGTAATCGACCCCCCGCACCAACAAATCTTGGCTCCGCCCCTGCTGATTAATTTGGTCTTTTAATTTTTGAATTAATAAAGTTAAAGATAAATACTAATTTTGCTAATTTTAACACAGATATCGTATGAGTATGTGTAATTTTGTATTGGTGTATTTTTAATTAAAATTAACTTAAATATACTTTGTGTGAAATTGTTTTAGGTGAGACACATTCAATAATTTTTAACTAAAATATACTATTTTTTTATATAACATTTTTTACATGATTACAATATTATACAGGATTTATTCAACTAATACTAATTTTATTAATATTCACCACTGGAAATTCTGAAATTTCCGACCAGCTGAAAATGATCTTAAATTAAGTTGATACCAAAAAGTCCAAAAAGTGGTCGGAAATAGCAACAAAGGTTTTTCCGGATACCAAAAGTGGTCGGAACAAGACTTTCAACTTGATTTATGATCACTTTCAGGTGGTCGGAAATTTCAGAATTTCGAGTAGTGATTTAAATTTTATTAACAAAATTATTTACTATTATTAAAAGAAAAGATAAGTTTATTATCTTCCTTACACTACTAATACTAATTTTATTAATATTTAAATTTTATTAACAAAATTATTTACTATTATTAAAAGAAAAGATAAGTTTATTATCTTCCTTACACTACTAAAAAGAAAAAATGATAAGGGAGAGAGATTGAAAGAGACGTGTATTTGTAGATAAGTGAATATATAGGGAGATAGAATGACATATGTTGCAGACTTTCAGAGATAATAAAACTGAAGAGAGAAGCGTGAAACCTAGATTGAACAGGAGGCTTATCTCTTTTTTTTTTTTTTTTTTTTTTTTTTTTTTTTTTTTTTTTATAATTTCATTTTATCTTTTATTTTAAGTGGGGTAATTGATTTGATTCTAAATTGTATGCCAAATAGATAGAATATTTTTACAATTGTACACTCATTTTTCAAGTCTTACATATATACATATATAAATTATATTAATTCCGATAGATGTTGATTTCGGTCCCCTATGAAATAAATAGTTTATTATTGCTTTAACTTTGATACTCCAACTAATAGGGTAAATTAATTAACTTAATGTCAACCTATATAACATAAATAAATAATAGTATGAAAAGAATAATGAGACAAGACATTTCACATGAAAATTTAAAAATTAAAGGGAAAAATCACAAATCTTTTTTACTAAGCTAGGTCGAAATCTAATATTATTGTTGAATAGTTCATGTTTCGACCTACTCTACTTAATACTATTGAGATATAACGTAAATGTGAAATGGGGTAATCAGGTTTGGAAGCTAAGTAAGGGTCTGACCCTATGACGTCGGGAAGTTTCGGTTAGCATGGTATAAGTTGGGAGAAGAAACCCCCTCACATACACTAAGTAAAATACCTTGTTTATACTAAGTGGTAAGGGGCATAATGATAGTAAAGTATTGATGTAGTTGACGTGACATATATTGATTTGACACTTAGGTCAGTCATAATGACATGTGTAAACTATTAAATTTTTTTTAAAGTAAAAATGACATTTTAAGTGATTATTTGGTAGTACAAATATATGTAGAATCCATGTCACCTCCAATTTGGGCCAGTCAAAGTGGATTTAGGTTCTTCGAAGTGAGACGAAGAAATTGATATATTGTATAGTCAAAACGAATAATGCGTGAATAAGAAATTAATTCTCAAAATAGACCAATTTGAATTGAAAAATAGAGCTAGGGAGGCTCGGAAGAAGCCTTTTGTCGCACATTAGAATTGGAAGTAGTTTGAATTGTATAGCATAAATGCTCTCTCTCACGCGCAGGGGTGGGGTGTAAATCAAATCTCATCCAGGCCGGCTATGTTACCTTGCAGTTTGGATGTACCTAAATTTGACAATTTTTATCAGTTGCCATTCATACTTTCCAAGTACCTTGGTGTTGGGCTGATTGTTGGTTGCTACTTTCAGAAAACTTCAAAACTCTTGATTTTCTCTGCTTCTCTGATTTCTTGAATTTTTTTGACAACACTTATAAAAATCGAAGTGCTCACCTATTGTTCAAGTTCGCTAATAGCATTATTTTTTAGTGCTCAAAAATAATGTTGTAATCCATTTTTCATGGGTGACTGACGCTATAACGCTCATAGCACTCTTGGGAGGTAGCGAATTAATTTGAAGGAAAGAGTGTGTTACAAACGACTTGAATTTTCTTGTTTTTGATCTTTTTTCGTTGGGTTTGTATTCTAAAAATCCGAATCCTTTATTATATTTATTTTTATAAATAAATTTAATTTATTCACTTACTCATCCCTACATGAATTGTTGATGTGACGACTGGTGAGGTGATGGTGGACTTAAACTATCTAGCAATGATGGTCGGGAAGTTCACTGATATAGAGGCCGGTAATCGATCTATTGATACAGAGGTCGGTAAGTCTATTGACATGGAGGTTAGTAAGTATAATGACATAGAGGTTGATAAGTCTACTGACATAGAGGTCGGTAAGTCTACTAACATGAAAGCGCATAGGTATAATGGCGTGGAGGTCTATAGATCTACATGTAGAGGTAGGTAAGTAGACATGTAGATTCTTGGATCAGGAAATCTACTCAGATCACATCTAGAAAGACCTTTAATCTAGATCGAGAAGTATACTTCGTAAGACGACAATTATTAAGTAAAGCTGCCTTATAACCCTTTCACCCATCAAACCTCACTTATATATTTTTATTATAAAATTTATATTAATTAGCTAAAAAAGAAAGAAATAAAAACAAGAAAAATAAGGTTATATTAGGCATAAAAGTAATAATCAATCAACCCGTAAAAAGTATAGAGGATAAAATGAAACTAGTCTTTTAATTATAAATTGGAAATGCAAAAGAATAGAGAGTTGAAGCACATGCATAGTGTGTAATTGAAGTATTCAAGAATGCATGGCAAGAGATGGATGGTGAAGCTTCTTTAATTTGTTTCATAGAACGCATCGAAAAAAACAAGACTCGTCCTTGTGTGCGACAACAAGCGTGACACGCCCCACTCATTTTTCATCTCTTGTTTTATTGGATTATTAATTAATAATAATAATCATATTATAAATGTTGCCTAGGAATTAGCAAACGAGGTCCATCAAAAACAGAGATTTTTACAACATTTGTTGCTTTGCTTCAATACTTATATGGCCTCACATGCATCTTCACAATCCCCTTTCTGTTAAAGCTTAAAAATACATGCGTGTTTGTTGGTTTCCTCTGTTAAACACCAAAAACAATATTCCAAATTAAACAAACAAAATCTTTTTATCATCGTAATTGTAACTCTCTTGTGCATAGGCGTGGCATTGACAAATGTGCCTTAGCTTGTCTCAATTCAACTTTAAAAGAGTCCAAGGAAGAACTTACATTATGGATTTTTTTTACAACTTCAATGTTACAATTATTACAATACTTTTCTTTAAATTTTTGTCATTTAAAATTTCAAGTCTTAATGCACAATTTTTATTTTATTTTATTTTAAATGATACCTTTAGTCTATAAATTATTTTGAAAGTGATTAATTTAGTCTGATCAGGAATGAGACTTAACTCAAATTTAAAACTTTTCTTACAAAATATAACAGTGATTTTATCAAACCACAAAGTATTTGACAATTTTATTTAGTACTTCGGTAACCAATCATCATAGTCAAGCTAGACATTTGGGAAATTTTGTCATTTCAACCCTCCAACAATTATCATATCCTTCTCCCAAAAGTTGAATCTCCAACTCTAATAGCTCGTTTGGTTCGCTGGAAAATATTTGAAAGGAAATGGAATTGAAATTCCATGGAAAATGAATTCTAGGAAAATTGATTCAATTGTTTGGTTGGTGGAAATGAAATTACTGGGAATATGGATTCCATTGTTTGGTTGGGTTTAGAAAGATAAGGAATAATGAATATAAAGACCAATATGCCCTTAAAAAGATGAATGAATAAATAGGTGTCTATGTAATTAAGAAATTTTCATAAGGGTAAAATGGTCCACTCATGTTATTTTCCTTCCCAATCCTTGTGGAAAACAAAATCTCACCCCTTTGCAAAGAATTCATTTTCCTCCACTTTGAGGAATCGATTTTCCAATGGAAAATGTTTTCCATCCAACCAAACAACATAAACCAACATTTTCCTTCACTTTGAAGAAAACATTTTCCATGGAAAATATTTTCCATCCAACCAAACACCCCCTTAAGGGTCCCTACACTCTACCAGAGAGAGCATTTTGAAGGTTATAATCACAGTGACTCAATGACTTAAAATTATCATATCCTTTTCTTCCTTCAACTTTCATCACATTTAGGTTGGAGGTTGGAATGACTTCAAAATTCCACCAAAAAAAGTTGTCAAATATCTCAATTTCATAGCTTGCAAGTTAGCGAACTCGCTAAAAATATCCCAAAAACAAAAAGTTATGCACTAAAAATGAGAAGTCGAGACTAAAAATGGTAACATTTTTTGGAACTAAAGTTCAAACAAGAAAAAACAAAAATCATAGTAAAGTACATGAACAAATTAAAAAGGTCCCTCTAAGTCTCAATTAACCTAAATATATATGAAGATTGGAGTCCTAGCTAGCTATCATCAACTTATCTTCTCTACTAAAGCTTGGGATTTGACTATGAAGTTTGAATCTTCACCATGAAGAAGTGGAAGGGGAACAAGAAGAAGAAGACGAAACAGCGTCATTGTTACTAATGGAGTCACTCCTAGAAGTCCCAAGTGAACTAGCATCCTTCAGCGAAACCGAGCACGCCTTGGCCGGCAGTTCTTTCATCGGCGTTAACGCCACCGAAGACGCGGGGCTACAACACGCAGATTGGCCGCCATCGGAGCCGCTTAACCGTGACGGCGACGAATCCGGCGTCTCAAACGGGGTGTCCACCACCGCCCCGCACGGCATGTTGGCTTCCAAGTCATAAATCGGATTGCATATGTACACACAATCTTCTCTCACGGTAGCGCCGCCGTCTTCGCCGCCGTGGACTAGCTTAGGCGACGCCATTGGTATAAAGGCGGCGGGAGAGCACGGCGGCGGCGTGGAGGAAAACATAAGACCCACTTCGTGGGGTTTCTTGGGGAGCTCAGAATTCTGGGTTTCTAAATCCAGGTTATTAAACACTGCAGGGAAGAGGAAGTTTCTTGGGGCGTGGAGGACGCCCTGTGCGTAGAAGGTGCTGAGAGTTGGGGCGGTGGGATGGTTGGCGAGTTGCGCGGCGGAGGCGGTGGTGGCGGTGGTGGTGGGTTTCCGGAGGTGTCGGCGGCGGAGCAAGAGAGAGCAGTAGAGCTGGGCTAGTAGAAGCAAGACTAGGCCTAGTACTATTGCAAGGCTGAGTAGCATTGTGAGTGTTGCTCCCATTATTATCTTCGAAGTTCCCTTCATTGTTGTGTGTGAAGAAGAAGAAGAAGGTGCAGTGAAAAAGATTGAGACTTTGGGAGAAAGTGTAAAAACACCAAGAGAATTGGGAACTAAGTAGTAAATAAATGGGTGAGAGTGTAAAAACCATGACGAATTTTGGCGGGAAACTGCAAGAACTTCTCTCCTCGCAATAAAAAGTGCTTAGTGTAAAGAGTTAGTACTTACTAGTATTACTTGAACAGTTGCGAGTTGAGTATTACCCGCACCTGCAAAATCCCTGCAGGTGCGGATATGGGGTAAGAATTTTATTATCTGGGCGAGTGCGAAGAATGGGTTGAGAATGTGGATGAAGGGGCGGGGATATATTTCTGAACCCACCATGCCGCATTGTCATCCCTATGAGCTATCCGGTCAAAAAGTTTATTGTCAAATTAATATATTTTTAGTTGAATAACTAATCAATCAAGTTAAATCACTTCATATGAAAGGGTGGTAGTCAACCTCAAGCATTTTCCAAGGTAAGAAGGGAAAGGGAAACATAGAAAAGGAATCTAACTACTGAGGGAAATAAGAATGGGTATAAGTGAAAATCTGCTCAAAGTGAAAGCCTTGCAGCTTTCTGACATTTTGAACTCAATTTTGGCCACCTTCACCAACTTTATAACACATGGAAATTTCCCTGTTTTTGGATCACTTCATTGTCATGCGATTAAATGCAGTTGAATAATATGTTGTAATGTTGGCATATATATCATGTCCCTTAATTTAATAAATAGTACAGTACCATTTCAATACTTAGAAATTTGATTGTATACATCCAGGCAGGTCTTGTGAAATTTAGTGAAAGACTGTTTGGGACAGAGCAAAGCCACGGAATCTCTCCTAAAAGCTGACCCAACACTGAAACAAAACTCTGCTTTTCCTTTCCTGGTTATCAAATGGTAACTTGTTACAAAGTTTTCATTGCACATATTTTCTTCAAAGTTCGAGAGCTTAATTACTATTTTGTATATGTTAATCTATTCTAAAATGGTAAATTAGCTAAGTTATATTTCAGGACTACACAAATAAAACATAAAATGCTAGTTACGTTAAGCTATGCCCGAGTCAACACAAAGTAAAATATGGATGAACTCGACAAAAGAGGCCGGCACAAATCTAACCTAACCAGACTAGCAAATGTTAGAGATAGTGGATTAGATTAATGTGGGCAGTGGGGGATTTATGAAAAGGTACATTCTTGAAGGTTTTGATAGAGATCTAAGGAAAACGTACTGTTTTCTGAGGTTATCAAAGCTAAGGTACCCTTAACTTTTGTCTGTTTCTGTAGATGACCAATCTTCATATTTCATTAAAAAGTCACACCTCTGCAACTGAATGGATTCTGAGACATTAAGTTAGAAGATGCTCAGCTCTCTGGTTTCACAAACCCATAACTGAATACTAGCATTGATACAGAAGTATGAACAAGAATGGGTGAAGCCCATGCTGGGAATCAATGGTAAAGAAGTTCACAGAGCAAAGAGAAAAGAAAGATAATAATTACATAACAAAATTGAAGGAAATGGCAGCACTGTACACTGTACTACTGTCAGGTAGTGAAGTGTTTATTGGCTTGTGCCTGTCTTTTTTTTTTTTTTTTTTGAGAAAAAAAAAAGTTTCATACTTGCTGTGCTCCACAAGATTAATGTAACTGTACCAAAATAAAGAGGTTCTGACCAGCCTGAAACTCTTCTGTCTGTTTCCCCTCATCAACAATACTAACCACTAACAACATATTATTACTAATGTTGGATAATGAAAGAAACTCGCAACCATAATGAGGTTGTGGACCAGGTAAAACCTGCTTTGTAATTATAGATAGTAAAGGATCACAAAGAGATAAAATAGGTTAGCTTGTCTGGTTTAAACTAAGAAGACCAATAGGCCAATCCTACAAAATCGAATTTGTAATATTGTATGGAGTAATTACTAAAGTAATAGTTTGACTAACTTGGTTGGAATTGCTCTTAACCACGTATTATTGTAGTTTTTGTTCTTAAAAAATTAATATAATAGCAAGGAGAGAAGAGAGAAGAGAGGGGAGAGAGAAGATGAAAAAAGATGAAAAAAAAGGTTGCCAACAAAAGTAAAAAGTAAAATTGTTATTTACGCGCCTAGCTGGCGCTCAACGCGCACCTACAGGCTATTTTCTTAATTTTATTTTCAATTAATGGGGTTCACAAACAAATTTTTTTTTTTTTTTTTTTTTTTTTTTTTTTTTTTGCATAAGGTTCACAAACAAATTTAATTTGCAAGAAAAAAAACATCCAAAAATAAATAAAAATTCCCCTCTATTAGTTAAAAATCCTACCGCAAATTTTTTGTTCTGAAATTTCATCTATGAACCATTGATGTAATTGCTCGAAATTGGGGCTTGAGATCATAAACCATTTAAATTAGGTCAAAATAAATTCACATTTTTTTAAATGTGCAAAATTAATTTTGTATTTAATAGGTGAATGTGAAATCGATTAAGGTGCAATGCAAAATAAGCTTCAATTCACAAGTTTGACTTGACTTGTGTGAATGCACCAATATCATATGTTTTCTCCCTGCATCACTGTTGTTTCTCTGGAAAATATATTTTCGATCCAACAGTTTCCTAGAGAAAAGAACTTTTAAAATGTAATTTATAAGGCTGTCCTTATCCCAGCCAAACTCTCCTTTGCAAAGTGACGTGGCAAAGCCACATATACATTTTTTTTTTTTTTAATGAAATGGGTTTGCAAATTTGCACTGCAAGCAAATTTGCAAACCCTGAAAAAGCTGCCGCGGCAGCTTTTGTATATATTTTTTTTTAATTTTATTTGATTTTTTGTACTTTTTAATATTTTAATATAATTAATAATGTTATTTTAATATATTTGGCCCACTTTTGAAGATTGATTAGATTTGTAGGGATGTAGTGTGAATAGTAGATGATTTGTAAATGGTATGATGTGGAAGTGGGACCCATTTTTGAGAGTGGAAGATGTTTGCAGGGATAAGGACAGCCTAACGGGGTAAAGATTTAAATTTATAGGATAAATGGATAATAAGTATCTAGACCTAACAATTTGTGACATGATTTATTAACTTGGCACAAAATTGGACATGAAAATAATAATGTAGTATTTATCTTTAATGTGTCCCGAGTTATTAAATGTGTCTATATGATGTCAACCCATTTAAAAATTGTGTTCGTATTTAGAATTTTAACCCATTAACCTTAATTAGTGGGTCATGTCCATGTTTAGCCTTATCGTGCTCGTGTTGTTATTGTGCCAACCCATTTATACGAATTGTCAAGTCTTGGGGTGTTTAGTTCAAAAATTGGAATCGGAATGGTAATGTAAATCAAAAACTTGGTAATGGTAATGAATTTAAGTAGAATGAGTCACTTTGTTTGTGATAGTAAATAAGAATTGGATCCTGTTAGATATATTAAATATAATATATTTAATATAATGTATATTAAATATAATATAATATATCTATAATATATATTAAATATAATATATCAATATATTATATTTATATATTGAGAGAGAAGAGAGAGGAATGAATAATGTTATTTGAAGGGATGATTAACAAATGAATACAAACCACATATTTATACTAAATGAAAGCTACTAATCAGGAAGCTAATGCTCGATGTACTAATGTTATAATTTAGGCCACTCTTCACATACAATGCATGACCCACACCCATTACTTTCATTATTTCCAACAAATTAACTAATTATTAATTACTTGCTTGGTTTAATAATTATAATAATAATAATATTATTATAACATTGCCTCCTTTAAACCAAGTTGGATATATTGGTCATTCCAATTTCCTTCTTCAATTTGAGAAATGTCTCTGTCTTCAGCGGCTTCGTAAAGATATCTGCAACTTGACATTCACTTGAACAATACTCAATGTTGATTTGCTTTTCAGCAACCAACTCTCTGATTTTGTGATACTTGATATCAATGTGTTTGCTGCGACCATGAAAGACTGGATTTTTGGACAACGATATTGCTGATTTGTTGTCACAAAAAATAGTTGTAGGTGCTTCTTGGTTGTGTTGTAGAAATTCCAAAATTCTCCTCAGCCAAACTGCTTGAGTAGCACAGTTTGCTGCTGCAATATATTCTGCTTCTGCGGTTGAAAGTGCTACAATCTGTTGCTTCTTTGAAGACCAAGAAAATATGGCCGAACCAAGATAGAAGGCATACCCTGACGTGCTTCTTCTAGTCTCAACATCTCCAGCCCAATCACTGTCTGTGTACCCAACAAGTTCCACAGTTTCATTAGTAGAGTAAAAAATTCCATCATTACTTGTACCTTTGACATATCTCAGAATTCGCTTTGCTGCAGCCCAATGTGATTCTTTTGGTTCCTCCATGAATCTGCTAAGAATTCCAACTCCAAAAGAAATATCTGGCCTTGTTGCCACCAGATACCTCAAACTCCCAATTAAGCTTTTATAAGATGTAACGTTCACATTCTTACCACACTCATCTTTGGACACCTTTAACTTTTCAGCTAACGGAGTCGAAACTGGTTTGGAGTTTTCCATTTTGAACTTTTTCAAAATATCAGCAGCATACTTCTTCTGTGAAATAAAGATTCCACCATCCATCTGAATAACCTCAAGGCCAAGAAAGTAAGACATAAGGCCCATATCGGTCATTTCAAACCTCTTAATGAGTGCCTCCCTGAATTCTGAGATTAGCTTCAAGTTGTTTCCAGTAAAAACCAGATCATCAACATACAGACAGATTAAAACAATATCACCAGAATCCGTGCATTTGACATACAAAGTGTGTTCATGAGGACATCTCACAAAACCACTTTCAACAAAATATGAGTCAATGCAACCATACCACGCCCTAGGCGCTTGCTTTAAGCCATACAAGGCTTTTCTCAACCTGTACACTTTATTTTCCTCCCCTTTCTTCAGAAATCCTGCAGGTTGCTCAACATATATTTCTTCTTCAAGAAAACCATTCAAAAAAGCAGACTTGACATCCATTTGATGCAATTTCCAATCATTTTGAGCAGCAAGAGAAATAACCATTCGAACTGTATCAAGTCTACTTACAGGAGCAAAAACCTCAAAATAATCAATACCTGGTTTCTGCTTGTAACGCTTTGCTACTAACCGTGCCTTAAAACGGTCAATTTCTCCATTTGACTTGTACTTCGTTCTGTAAACCCACTTCACTCCAATTGGCTTCTTTCCAGGAGGTAAATCTGTTAACTCCCAGGTACCATTCTTTTCAATGGCACGGATCTCCTCATCCATCGCCTTAAGCCAATGAGTTTCTGTAGCAGCCTCCTCAAAAGTTAAAGGATCACAATCTGCAAAGAGAGCAAATTGAACAATTTCTTCATCAGACAGGTCATTATCATGACCCAAAACATAATCTTGCAAGCGAGCTGGTAAGTGGCGCTCGCGCTGAGATCGTCGAACTGACGACTCTGGCTGTGAAGGAGACTGGACATTATCTGGAATCGGTTGCTCTTCAACAATATTTTCAACAGCAGGAATAACAACTGAACTTTCATCTTTAGCTAACCAATCCCAGGCACCATATTCATCAAAAGTGACATCACGACTTATAACAACCTTTTTAGTTTCAGGATTGTATAGTTTATAAGCCTTTGAAGCGTCACTATAACCAATGAATATGCACTTCCCACCTTTATCATCCAACTTCTTTCTCAATGGATTCGGCACGTGGGCATATGCTAAACATCCAAAAACCTTGAGATATTTGATAGAGGGTTTTCTCCCACTCCAAGCTTCTTCGGGCGTCTTATCACGGACACTCTTAGTTGGACACCTATTCAACACATAGACAGCACAAGCAACAGCTTCTGCCCAAAAAGGCTTAGGCAGATCCTTAGATTTCAACATGCACCTCACCAATCCATGATTGACCTATTCTTCCTCTCAGCCACTCCGTTTTGTTGTGGAGTGTATCTAGCTGTCATTTGGTGCTGAATACCCTTTTCTTTCAGAAAATTATCACAAGCAATATATTCTGTACCTCTATCAGTTCTCAAGATTTTAACTTCATAACTACTTTGCTTTTCAACAAAAGCCTTAAATTGTTTGAAAACATCACATGCTTCAGACTTTTGCTTCAGAAAGTAAACCCATGTTTTCCTACTGAAATCATCAATGAAAGTAATAAAGTACTTACAACCTCCATATGAGGGAACCTCCAACGAACACAGGTCTGAGTGAACAATCTCCAACTGTTTTGTGGCTCTCCTTGACTTGCCCACGGGAAAGGGATCTCTATGCTTCTTCCCAATCACACAAATCTCACAGATACGATTAGGGACATTCACAACAGGTAAATCAGAAACAAGTTCCTTTCTCGCAAGATAGTTTAACCCAGAAAAATGAAAATGCCCAAACCGCATATGCCATAACCAATTATCATCACAAACTTCAGAATTAAAGCAAGCAAGGAGAGTATGCTTAATTTTCAAAGGAAATAGTCGATTTTGGGACATATTTACCTTTGCAATCAAAACTCCTTTAGCATCTGCAATGGTACAACACCCCTGAGCAATATGTATCTTATATCCTTTTTCTGACAACTGACCCATACTCAACAAATTTTGGTGTAGTTCAGGAACATAGAACACATCGGATATAAAATTGTGAGTACCATCCTTCAACTGAATAGAGATTTTACCTTTTCCCAAAATTGGCACCTTTAACTTATTGCCAAACGTTACTTCAGACCGGACTGATTCATCTAGTTCGGAAAACAATTCTTTCTTCCCACACATATGGTTACTACACCCAGTATCCAAGAACCATATGTTCTTATCTGCAGAAAAACTATCGCTGGCCAAAAGTAAAGTTTCAGAACTCTCACCAGACTTTTCAGCAATGTTTGCTTGATTTCCAAGATTGTTGTCCTCATTATACCAACAATCTGCAATCTTGTGCCCATACTTGCCACAATTGTAGCAATGAAATGGAAATTTACCTTGTTTGGTATTACCTCCACCTCTTCCTTGGTTGGAGTTACCACGTCCTCCTCCTTGGTTGAAGTTACCACGACCTCTTCCACTAGAACCTCCTCTTCCTCTTCCACGACCTCTACCAGATCCTCCACCTCTTTGATTAGTGCCAGTCACATTAAGGGTGACTTGACTCTTCAAAGCTTCTTCTGCTAGTGGTTCCGATTTTGACGCAATCCTGTCAATATGACTTTCTACCATACCTTTCAGCTCTGCAATTGATAAGAGCTCGGTTTTGTGTGACTCTGTTATTGAAGCCACCACATGGTCATACTTCATCGGCATAGTTCGAAGAACTTTTTCAACCACTGCACCATCTTCAATCGTATCTCCATATAGCCTCATCTTATTCACCATATCAATAAGACGAGTGAAATACGCATCTACTGTTTCTGTAGAGGTCATCTCACAATTATCGTACAACCTTCTCAACGACTGCAACTTAGACTTCTGCGCCCGATCGACTCCTTTGTGTGACACCTTTAAGATGTCCCAAGCTTGTTTTGCTGTTTGAGCACGAGCTAATTGCCCAAAAATGGAATAATGAACACCTTGGTGAATCTGACCCAAGGCCAATTTATCTCGCCGTATAGCGCCTGCATCAGCTCCTTCGGGTAGACCGGGATCAACAAAGCTCCAAAGATTTTGAGCTTGCAAATGTGTGGACATCATAATTTGCCAATAATTGTAATCGAGGTTCCCGTCCAATTTGGGACCCGACCATACAATATTGAAATTTGTGGCCATAATTCACTATGAAAAATACATCGGGGTTGAAAGGTTGACTGGCTCTGATACCAAATGTTAGATATATTAAATATAATATATTTAATATATCTAACATTTGGTATCAGAGCCAGTCAACCTTTCAACCCCGAGGTATTTTTCATAGTGAATAAATAATTAATAAAAATATATAATAAAGATATATATACATACATATATGTGTATATATATTAAAATCTTATATTTAATACAAGGATAACGACATTTTTATTATTTTTATTTTTGATTTTATTGTTTAAAAGTAGATGAGTAAAAAGATAATGGGTTTTGCATTTTAGTTTTTTATTTTTTTTTAATTTTATATTATGAGAATATGATTACATTGGCATATATTGGTGAGAATTTTATAACATAGTTGACTTTTGTGCATTTCATGCACCATACCTGTCCTGTCTTGTGGATTCTAACCCATCTCTTTGGTTGTATACTCACCTATATATATGTTGCTCTACTTTTAACAAACTCAATACTACACTTAATTGCCTGACAATTTCTCATGCATGTGTTGTGTCTCACATAATTTATCATTTAAATTAGAGTTCTCATTATTATGCATGTGATAAACTTTGGTATAGAATGCTTTTAATTTAGTGAGCTTTTGCAACCTGTTATGCCCATGTTGGGTTTTAGGTCTCTATTTTCGTCTTTTTTTTTGTAGTGAGAAATGAATATTACTTGATGGAGAGTAAAGTAAACAATTGGATGTAAAAGTCTATATAAACGCAAGCTAGGAATTGAAATTGAAATGCATCCAATATAATCATTTTCTTTTATCCTAAGCTAAATGAGTTCCTCCAAAATCTTTCCTCTCATTCTACTAATCTCATTTCTCCACATGGAATTTTCGTCTTACGTTAGTGTAGGTGCAGAGTCAGACACCCTCATGCAGGGTGCCATTATCCGAGACTGGGAACATTTGACTTCTGCTAAGGCCATTTTCAAGCTCGGATTCTTTAGTATTTCTGCCGGCTATTCCGGTCCAATCAACCCAGAGAACCGTTATCTAGGAATATGGTACACCAAGGTGCCAAACGAGCCGGTCTGGATTGCCAATCGTGATTCCCCGCTCCCAGACTCATCCGGTTCACTCATCATCGACGCTCACGGCAAACTCAAGATTTCTCACGTTGGAGGGATGATTACAGTGTCCAATGTTTCCACAATGTCCGGAAACAACGTGGGTGCCACGCTGTTGGACTCTGGAAACTTGGTCGTACGTGAAGTTCATGGAAATGGAAGCTTTGGAGGTGTGTTTTGGCAGAGCTTTGATTACCCCACGGATGTGCTTCTACCTGGAATGAAACTGGGAGTGAATCTGAAAACCGGGCATGTTTGGAAGCTCAGTTCTTGGTTGAGTGAGCAGGTCCCGGGTTCAGGAGCTTTTGAGCTCGGCCTGGACGTTAATGGCGGCACTAACCAACTGGTCGTTTCTCGACGGGGAAAGGTTTACTGGAGCAGTGGAGTCTGGAAAAATGGGAGCTTTGAGAAGGCACCAGACGTGACAGCAGAGTTGGAGCTTGGTTTCAAATTGGTGTCAAATGAGAAGGAGAAGTACTTCTCTTACTCACCTAAACACAACTACACATTCCCCAAATGGAAGCTTGATCTCCAGGGCCAAATCGAGCAATCCCTCTTGGTACATAATATGATCGAGCCTACCTGGACCGGGAGCTATGCTTCAGAATGTCGCGACTTTTTGGAGAGGGTTTGCTTGAAGGAAAACCCGGTTTCTTGCAGGCAGAGTTCTGATGTATTCATCCAGACAAGAGGGTATTTTGTTGATGGAAACATATCTTATGTTAAGGATAGTCCAAATGGTTACAGGTTAGCTCTCAGTGATTGCCATTCCATCTGCTGGAAAAATTGCTCCTGCACCGCATATGCATCGTCTTTTAGTGATGGAACTGGTTGCATTTTGTATACCAATGCCCATAATTTTACACTTGATGCAACTGATGAACTGTACATCTATCGTCTCATCAAACAACACAAAAGCTAGATACTGGTTAATGTAATTTTTCTGTAAGCGTTTCTGCTGTTTTACTGTCATTCAGGTTTAATTTTCTGCGTGTTTAATTTGTGAATATAATGCGCCCTTTGTTCAAAAAGGGCGCAGTTTATGTAACGATGTTTACTATCATTATGGAATAAAAATGGACATACATGTTGTCATTTTGCCTATATAATATTCAAAAGTGTCACATTTCTTTTAAAATTAGAAGTAGTTACTAGTCTTGGGTAATCAAATTAAAGCTTTCCAGAAATATATTCCTTTTTCAGCTTAAACACGAAATGAACAAAAAGTTTTATCTCAATATTGAATGGATAAGAAGCATGGAACAAGTAAAAGATTGAAAGGCTAACCAGAGGGCCTGAAAATGTAGTTATCGGCATACAGCTGCAGTGATGTTAAAAGCTTGTTGTCATAATGTTTGATGAGACTTTGGATAACTTGCAGGGCGTCGGTTTCAATTTGACAATGGGCCGGGAATAACTCCAAAAAAACTAGTTTTGCTTTGTTTTTTTTTTTTTGGTTTTTTTTTTTTTTTTTTTTTTTCTCTCCCCTCTCATCTTCTCTTTCATAATCATACTTATAACCAAAGCTGAACGTGTTAGACGACACATAACAACTGATGTTAATTGTTGTCGTTGTGCAGGTACAATAGAAGATCTTGACCACCTTTTCCGCCGGTGCCCGGTAGCAAGGGAAATCTGGGAAGCGGCGCTCACAAGGCGAACAGATGAGCAGCTCAGTAGACTGGACTGGTGCAATTGGCTTTCCGCGAACTTGAGGGGTGATGCTACCTTAGGGTTCGAGGAGGGATGGCCTGAACGCTTTGCAATTCGGCTCTGGTGGTTGTGGAGATGGCGCAACGACGAAGTTTTCAGGCAAGTTACGACCACTCCAGCTCAACGAAGAGGGTGGCTTACGGCGTACGATGAGGTCACTGTGGCGTAGCGAAATGCAGGGTGTCGGCTAGGCACAACACTCAAACTCACACAACTACAGTGGCATGGGAAAAACCACCGCAGGGCTGGTGGAAGATTAATGTGGATGGCTGTAGAAAGACTAGTGGCATCGCTGGTTGTGGGGGAATTCTGAGGGATTATACAGGGAAGTGGCGAGGGGGTTTTTTGTGCAATATTGGACGGGGAAATGTGGAAGATGCGGAAACTTGGACAATTCTACAAGGCATCAGGATCGCAAAAAGTCTGGGGGTTGATAAACTCATTGTTGAAGGTGACTCTATGGCGGTCATGGAGAGCATGCGAACTGGGGATATGACTCGAAATAACATTGTTGGACATTGCATGAGGGAGGCTGCGGGCTTGGCGCAGGTGGAATACAGGCACACCTACAGAGAACAAAACAAGGTGACGGATGCCCTTGCGTCGATGTCCATCTCGAACCAGATTGGGCTACTGGTGCTGAATGAGGCACCTCCGGAATTACGGATGGCTATTCAACAGGATCGCGTCGAAGCTAAGTACCCGCGCAAGACACACCGGGGAAGAGCTACTGGGATTGCTGCTTCTTAGGCTCTCTGGGTTACACCCTCATCTTGATAAAAAAAAAATTAAAAAAATAATCATACTTATAAAAACTCTTTAAAAACCACAAAATAACTCCACCATTGTGGATGCTCTAACTACTTAGGGAAATAAGAATGGGTCTAATAAGTGAAGCTCTGCTCAAAGTGAAAGCCTTGAAGCCTTCTGACATTTTGAACTCAATTTTGGCCACCTTCCCCAACTTTATAACATATGGAAATTTTCAAGAAAAAAAAAAGGGTCAAATAAACCCATGCACATTACTCAAAAAATCAATTAAGCCTTTAAACTTTCAAATGTTACAATTAAGTCCTTAAACATATTATTTTAGAGTATTGAGGCCCAAAAATTGATTTGTAACCTATAATTACAGCCTTACAGAGTTACAAGCCACTAATTAGGTTCTTACAAACCACGAATGAGATTCCGACCTTATTCTGGTAAAAAACACCGGCGATTGTTTCACTAGTGTTTTTTGCCAAAATATGGTTGGAATCAGGTGTGCCAAAATCCTAGTGACCTGTAATTATATGTCACCAACCTGTTCTTGGGCCTTAATGTTCTAAAATAATGTGTTTAAGGACTTAATTGTAACCTTTGAAAGTTTAATAGCTTAGTTGTAACTTTTGAAAGTTTAAGGACCTAATTAACTTTTTAAGTAATTTTTAAAGACTTATTTTACCATTTTCTTAAAAAAAATGAAATTTAATATGTTGTAATGTTGGCATATATATCATGTCCCTTAATTTAATAGTACATGCAGTACCAATACTTAGAAACATTTTGCATGCACTGAGGTGCACTATATGAAACTGCTATTTGCACTTGTAATACATTTTACTTGCACTTCGATGTTCAATTATTTACGAAACTGTCACCGCATTTTTTTTATTAAAAAAATCAGTGTTTCTCATCCGTTGGATATGGACACGTGGACGGATGACACGCGTTCTCAGTTCTCTCATGGGCGGTCGTTCGCATGAGATCGGGCCATATATATATATATATATGGCAAATTATTGTGTGGACCATAGTGCACACAATGTTTTGTGGACCATAACAAAAAGTATATTTTTAATATACTAAATGTACATTATTTTTGTCTGTAAGTACATTATACAATATAATGTACACTATGTACAAAAATAATGTACATCCCCTGAATACAATGTACATTATTTTTGTCCTGAATATACATTATTTTACACTATACAAAATATGGTCCACACAATAATGATTATATATATATATATATATATATATATATATATATATATATATATATTGGTGAGAATTTTGTAACATAGTTGACTTTTGTGCATTTCATGCACCATACCTGTCCTATCTTGTGGATTTTAACCCATCTCTTTGGTTGTATACTCACCTATATGATGCTCTACTTTTAACAAACACAATACAACACTCAATTGCCTGCCAATTTCTCATGCATGTGTTGTGTCTCACATAATTTGTCATTTAGAGTTCTCTTTATTATGCATGTGATAAACTTTGGTATAGAATGCTTTTAATGTAGTGAGCTTTTGAAACCTGTTATGCCCATGTTGGGTTTTAGGTCTCTATTTTCGCATTTTTTTGTAGCGAAAAATCACTACTGGAAATTATGAAATTTCTGACCACCTGAAAGTGATCTTAAATCAAGTCGAAAGCCTTGTTCCGACCACTTTTGGTATCCGGAAAAACCTTTGTTGCTATTTCCGACCACTTTTTGGACTTTTTAGTATCAACTTAATTTAATATCATTTTCAGGTGGTCGCAAATTGCATAATTTCCAGTAGTGAATGAATATCACTTGATGGAGAGCAACGTAAACAGTTGGATGTTAAAGTCTATATAAACGCACGCTAGGAAATTGAAATGCATCCAATATAATCATTTTCTTTTATCCTAAGCTAAATGGGTTCCTCCAAAATCTTTCCTCTCATTCTACTAATCTCATTCTCCACATGGGATTTTTGTCTTACGTTAGTGTAGCTGCAGAGTCAGACACCCTCATGCAGGGTGCCAATATCCGAGACTGGGAACATTTGACTTCTGCTAAGGCCATTTTCAAGCTCGGATTCTTTAGCATTGCTGACAGCTACTCCGGTCCAATCAACCCAGAGAACCGTTATCTAGGAATATGGTACAACAAGATCCCAAACGAGCCGGTCTGGATTGCCAACCGTGATTCCCCGCTCCCAGACTCATCCTGTTCACTCATCATCGGCGCTGACGGCAAACTCAAGATTTCGTACGTTGGAGGGATGTTTACAGTGTCTAATGTTTCCATAATGACCGGAAACAACGTGGGTGCCACGCTGTTGGATTCTGGAAACTTGGTGGTACGTGAAGTTGACGGAAATGGAAGCTTTGCAGGTGTGTTATGGCAGAGCTTTGATTACCCCACGGATGTGCTTGTGCCTGGAATGAAACTGGGAGTCAATCTGAAAACCGGGCATGTTTGGAAGCTCAGTTCTTGGTTGAGTGAGCAGGTCCCGGGTTCAGGAGCTTTTGAGCTCGGCCTGGACGTTAATGGCGGCACTAACCAACTGGTCGTTTCGCGACGGGGAAAGGTTTACTGGACCAGTGGAGTCTTGAAAAATGGGAGTTTTGAGAAGTCCGAGTTTGGTTTCAAATTGGTGTTAAATGAGAAGGAGAAGTACTTCTCTTACTCACCTAAACACAACAACACAGACGCCGCCATATGGAAGCTGGATCTCCAGGGCCAAATCCAGCAATTCTTCTTCAGACATAACATTCCCTTCGACACCTGGATTGGGAGATACGGTTCTACTCCAGAATGTCTCCCCATTTCTAAGGCTAATCCCAGGCCGGTTTGCTTGAAGGAAAACCCGGTTTCTTGCAGGAAGAGTTCCGATGTATTCGTGCAGACAAGAGGGTATTTTACAGATGTTCATATAAACATATCTGAAGTTGAGAATAGTCCAAATGGTTACAGGTTAGCTCTCAGTGATTGCCATTCTATCTGCTGGAAAAATTGCTCCTGCACGGCGTATGCATCGGTTTATACTGATGGAATTGGGTGCATTTTGTATACTAATGCCCATAATTTTACACTTGATCCAACTGTTGAAATGTACATCTATCGTCTCATCAAAGGACACAAAGGCTAGATACTGGTTAATGTTATTTTTCTGTAAGCTAGCGTTGCTGGAGTTTTACTGTCATTCAGGTTTTCTGCGTGTTTGTGAATGCGCCCTTTGTTCTTGAAGGGTGCAGTTTATGTAACCATGTTTACTATATATCATTATGAAATAAATGGAAAC